TTATTACCACATTCATTACTCATTACCTATTAAAAAATCTGCCTCTTATTGTAATTCTCACACCTGACACCATGTGATCTTGTATTAAACCACTCAATGGAGTGCAGTCCTTTGGCACCAAATACTGATTATTGGTGGTAGCTGAAAACAATAAGATGAAATGAGAGTTCAGACAATAAATAAATTTATATTTGGTTGATTAGTTACCATGTAGGAGAGGTAGGGGGTGGGGGTTCAATTTTGGTCAACAGCAATATGCACTTATGGCAGATATTTTAGTATATCAGTTTTGTCCTGAAATTTATTCTGTATTGTGTGCAGGTTACCTCAGAAAGTTTAGGAAATATTTGTATTATGAAAAACTTAATTTTCTTTCATAAAACAAAACAAAGCAAGTTAAATATGTTCAATTTGTGGACCACCAGTGTAGCAATCAGACTCTGAAATATCTGGTTACAAAATCATCATCCTCTTTTTTGTCACAAGTAGCTTAGCAGCCAGAGAACTTGAACTAGTCTACTGTTAATACACTGTAAGTACACGGCAAAACTTGTATAACACAGTAGTCATAGATGTAATATGTTTTACAAAGTACGCAAAACAGAAAAATGGCAATAAAAAAAAAAATTCTCACTAGAATAAAGTCTATGATGGGAAATCATTAATCTCAAATATATTCAGGACAAAAAAGTGTTTGTTTGGCATTACATTCCTCAACAGGTGGTAGAGTAACTAACTCACCTAAAACACTAGCCTCAGCTCTTCCCAGTTCATTCTGTGGTAAGTGTACATTCATCTCATCACCATCAAAATCAGCATTATAAGATTTACAGTTGGCATAATGTAATCTCAGAGTCTTCTCTCCAGGTAGTACTCGCACCTGAAATGGTATAACACAATACACAGTAAGAATCTATGCATATATTGAAGTACAACAGTATATGCTCTCATACAAAACAATTAGAAATTATCTTTTTTATATTTTCATTTTTGTTAGGTTTCAAAATGAAAATTTTGTTTGGTTTCAATAATTAAATTACAATTATAATAATTAAATTTTTATATTTCCATTTATGTTATATTTATAAACATTAGTTCATTGCTATTAACAAAATTTATATCATATTTTCATATGAATATTAAATTTAAAGTTGGATGAAGGCAGTTTACCTTATGCGCCATAATACTTGGTTTGTGTAGCGTGGGTTGTCTGTTTAGTAACACTAAGTCACCATTCTTCACATGTCTATGCACCTACAATTTAAAACAGAAATGACTTTTTTTACAGATCTGAGTAACCTGTCAGTAACTATCATGTTAATGGTTTGTGGTGATTGAGTGAAGTATATAATAATGTCAAATGATATCACTTGTCAGGCATATGGGGGGGGGGGGTGAATTGTTGGCACGGTACCAGATTCACTTACTTTAATAATGTGGATGTCATGTATGCTCAGTCATCTATTGCAAACTCTGCAAAATTCTTTTGTATTCTGTTACATGTCTATTTATTACATCATGATACCCTGACCACTACCCTGACACACACTAAATTCAGTATTACACTCACACAAAACAAGTAATTTCCACTGAAAAGACTTTTTGGGTGTTTTGTATGGAATTTATTTTCACTGATTTTTGACAAGTTGAATAAAAAATTAATTCCAAATGAAAATAAAGTATTTTACAGTACTGTATTTGCTTTATTAGTAGTACGCTTATGTAAATAAAAGGTGCGTCAAAATAAGTAATATTTTTTAGAATCCAGCTGAATATACAAGAAATCCACTGTATAATAAAACAAATATAGTATTTATCACACAACATTTAAAATATTTAAAGTAAAAAATAGATCTATGTATCAAAACAGATTATTATTATTAAAAAAATTGATGAGTAAATAAACAAAAATACAAAATGAAAACAAAACAAATAATTGTTTACTGGTTAAAATAATGCCAATATTTTCTTCTCTGTTCCAATGTTTATTACCGCTTGCGGTTTATCGAAGAAAAGAGTTGCATGATTCTATTTCACAAAAAGCAACATTATGTTAACCATCATGACATGTGAAACATGTTTAGTGTAAGTATTAAAGTAATAAAAGTAATATTGCTACCTTTTTACATCCTAATAACCCTGATGATGCACTGCTTGGGGTTAATAATTGTTTTGCTATAGCGTCTCTCTGAGTAGGACGATCAGCTCGGAGTAAAGTCTTTGAACCATCTTCATTTTCCACAATTGATGCACTACAAAAAATAACAAGAAAGCTTAGAAAGAACCTGTGTGGTGAAGGTATTGGATGCATGAAGTACTAATAAGTATTACTGTATTTACTATTAGAAGCACATCTTCAATACACATAAAAAGCAAAAATTGCATGCAAAATAATTTTGACCATATCCATGAAACATGATTCATTAAAATCTGTTAAATGGCACTTGAGAAACTTGAGAAAATGCTTAAAATTGGCTAAATAATATGCACATTTAGTTTATTAATATGCATGGATTTCAATCCAAAACTAATCAGTCTGCACATTGTCACAGAGCATTTATGTATCAAGTTTCATTGAAATCTGTTGAATGGTTCTTGGAAAAAAAGTGAAAAGGCTTAAAATTGGCTAATTAATATATCTATGATGATATGGACAAGGTAAAAACAAAGAACAATATATAACACCAATCTGAGAAAAGACCACCTTATTTAAAAGTTGTGTGGATTTTTAAACATGTACAAATATGTAGCAACTGATGATGGAGAAAGAATACCATTCAATAAGTAAGCTCCACTTTAAAGCAGGGGAGACGTCACCTACACATGCGTCAGGTGGCCATAGCGTGCCATTGTTTACAAACAAGCATCTACCCATGAGTTTTTGCGTTCTTAGCGTGTGTTGTTGTCATCGCTTGGGACTCAACTCCCGTGCGTGCACAGGTGACGACACTGCTACTTCAATAGCTGACTTCACACACAGTGGTAAAAACTTACCCAGGGTGTTTGTCAGGCCCATTGATGACTGCATTTCTCAGCTGCTTTACATTCCATGGTGTAACAGGCTGAGGATATGTCAACTTAGTTGCTATGACAGAAGGAATTCCTATCTCATCAGTTGCTATGTTAGGATCAGGAGAGATCACAGATCTTGCAGCGTAGTTCACTCTCTTCCCCATCATATGTTTACGAAGTAAACCATCTTTCTTCTCCAAAATCTGAAAACACAAATAAATGTTGACTCAAACAGACTTAATTTCAGGGGCAGTTAAAAAAGCAAGTTTCATGTTTAATAGTGTGTGATTTCTCCTCTCACCTGTCTGATTCCAGGATGTTTATCTGAATTCAACCTATCAAGGTCACTGTCAACTACACAGTTGACTCTGGTCTGAAGTGAAATCCAGCAATTGTGTAACTTTTCTTCGTTATTCTTGCCAGCTACTTGACCCAACACGCTCTGAAATTTAGAAATTTAACTGTCAACATTGTAAAAGTTGAATTATGATGACCATATTTCCCTCACTTTCTGGTCATGTGACCTTTTTAACAAGCTTGCAGCTCATTAGTTCAAAGACCTAAATAATCTAGGGTTTGAAGACCCATAAGAAGCTTTTCCCCAATTTTTTTTTTTTGTGAACTTTGACTGAACTATCAATTTGAATGATTTATATTTATTTCAAAACTGGTTTTTCAAGGAGTTTTAATAACCACAATACATTACTGTTGCAATAAATGAGCATAGAATGGAAAATGCTGTTTGCAAAATACTTGAAAACAATTATACAAACTTGTGAGAATAAAAACAAATAAGTCACTCATCCTGGCACTTACACTGACTGGCATGTTTTTATAAAAAATATAAATTATAAATACTGACAGGTTAAATAACAGACTTATTTGATTGAAACAATATTATAAGTTTTTTCTAAGGACGGGTTGTCATAACAGTCGTAAATATTTGTTCTTAATTTGGTATAGAATGCACATTTCAAGTGAAATGGCAAAATCATCTTCAATTTTGTTTAAATTGCAGTACATTATTCTGTCTGCTTAATTTTTGTGCAACAATCTATACAACACGCAGAAACCCTGAATTTACACAACACTTTTATCAACCACTTATAAATATTGAATATGGCCAAACACTTAATTTGGAAAGTAGTTGGAGACCAGCTTGCCGTTTTTGTACAGCTATATTTTGACAACGTTAATTCATGAATTTAACAGTTACCTAAATGTTACAATACAACATACCCCGCTACTCCTTGGTTGTACCAAACATGAATAAATATTCACAGTATTGGTAAGCCTAACACTTGTAAGCAAGGCAATATTGTGGAAGTGACAACAGTTAAAAGGCGATGTTTAAATTTCATGTAAATAAACAATGTATTTTACTTGCATTGTATACGTCGCTACGAGTCCCATATCGAACAGAACACAGCATGACGACCGCCGCCCTTCAAAGCAAATGTTTTATCACTCTAGCCAGACAAAATGTCAGTATTTTTAGGTAACTAAGTCCCCTCTTACCGCCAAATTTGGTGTTTGTGATAATATTAAAGGACAATTTATTTTGCACAGTTTTAATATTTTTTATATTGAAGAAATATAGAAATAGGTTTTTTTTGAGAGAGAGTGATGTCAAAAATAAAAAAAAGATTAAATATTTTACACATTGAGTGTTTCTTTTTTGTTTTGATGACATCATGAATTTACTACCAATACTACAAAACCATGTCCTTACCATGTCAATATCATTCTCAGCTTCATCCTGCGAACAATCTTGAATTTTAATTATTCTAACAATCCGTTGTAATTTAATGCTTTCACCCAACACATTAGATAAATTAGAAGTCTGTGGATTCTCAAATCTCTTATCACCAACCTGGGAAATCTGAAATACAAATATTTCTCAATAGTTATGCATGTTTAATTAAGATTGTGAATATATTAGTGATCACATACATAACCACCTGCACTTTTAGACAGTTCCAAGACATAATATAATGTATGAGCACCTTGTGTATGAAAAACCATCTCATGTGACCACCCTTTCAGCAATATTTTTGCAGATTTGCTTTTGTTTAGAGACTAAAATAATAATTAGCATTCTGTTTATGAAATAATTTTCTCAAGTCAACTCAACTAAATATGTTTTTGTTGCTACAGTACCATTTCATTATTTTCAGTACAAATATTATGTCTAATGTATGAGTTGGTGATCCACAAGAAAATAATCCAACCTTTATATAAAGACCACCTGTGGTCGCTATACACAGGTTTGAAATGTATGACTTACTGGGCGGAACCTTGATGGCGGTACAGGTACAACATCTAAAAAGAATACATCAACTGATTTAGGAGATGCCATGCCTTGCTCATCTGCTAAAGCTCCAAACAAGTGATGAAGCAGAGAACCTGAAAGAAAAAGAATACATCAACTGATTGCATATTTGACATCAGTAAAATACAGATATTTGATTTACTGCACATCCAATGCTTGCACCCAATCAGAGTTGCTGTAGCTTAGGTCAATGGAATTAAAACAAAAGTTAGATGTTAACTTGCCAGTGAGGGCGCTCTTTAAAACTAACTTTTTGAACAGAATCTGCCTAGGTATAGTGGCGATGCGATTGCCGAATAAACAGACTTTGGCTGGCGAAGACGCTACACAATGCACAACACATACCTTCATTTTGAATGATAAGTTTCATATGTTCTCTTGCATCTTGTGGAGTTAAGTAGACTTCATTCAGTCCAAAACCAGTCCACCTGGCTATGGTTTCTTCTGTCGCTTCTTCATTTGGTGTTGTGCTAAAATAAAAGGGAAAACTTTCAAAACACACTTGTCATCGAAACACATGTGCATTTTACTGTACTATTATTGTCTTATTATTGTTCTCTGACTAGTCATCACATCCACTAGACAATTCACGCTGTTCATTTAAACATAATCTAGCTGTAATGCTCATGGTCGTGAGTACCGTAGTAGTCACAAAAACCCTTGAACCACTACCAAGTTTTGACACACAATTCGGTTTTGTAATTTGCAAAGGGGTGTGGTCATCATATTCAAATTTTGTGTATAAAATACACATACATATATTTTGATATCTAGTATAGGGGGCATACAGTGCGTGCATACGGTCGAGACAACCACCACTGATGTAAATCATTAACAATACTTTTACCAACTCTTCTCACCTTTTATTTTCAGTAATCTGTATTCTTTTCCTTTTACTTCCCTTTTTAAAATAAATCTTGCTATTATGCTCAGCTCGGAGTTCACATACTTTCTTTTTACAAAGATGACATTTTGAGAGATGTCTGACTTCAGTATTTATAAAGTCTGTAATCAGTTTTTTTTTCTGTTCCGTCACGTTTCTCACGTGGGAACTGATACGAGAGTCCTCTTTATCAATTCCTATAGAGGAATCAGATTAGGAACAGGTCAAAGTTCAATCTAGCCAATGCATGCAGAAAACACATGGTTGTAAGCTTTTCATCAAATCACAGTCGCTCTACTGGCCAATTTCAGAACAGAATTTGATTGAAGAGAGAATTACTTGTATACAATGCTCAGTATAATATATGCGAAGTGAACAAAACGTTGCCTGTTTTCCTGATCTAATATTAAATCAAGAGGGTAGTCACCTACGCACGTGCGGGAATTGAGTCCCAAGCGACAATAACGACACATGCTAAAACACAAGGGCTCATGGATGGACGCCTGTCTGTAAACAATGACACGCTATGGCCATCTGACGCATGCACAGGTGACGACTCACCCGCTTTAATAGCAAATATTTAGATCAATGTTCAGGATAGCTTGAAGTCTGTTTGATACAATAGGCTGGTTCAAGATAGAATCCGATTTTTTTTTATGTTGAGAGATCTGTCATAAAAATTTCCTTCAGTCTTTGCAGTTGATTTCTTTATGTTTGTGAACCAATACTGATATACATGATTATTGTTGAAAAAATGCCTGTCATCTACTTATTTTGTAACATGAAACATATACTTTGGTCACAGTGAGAATGAAAAAACTACTGACAGTGAAATATGATTAGACAATGATTAGAGACATGGATCTAAAAGACGGGTGATGAATCCTTGGAACCCATACACAAAATATTGCGAGTAATTTCAAAATTTGTTTACACTTTGATTACAATTTAAAGACAATGACATATTGTTTTTATTAGATTGTTCTGAATTACTAATACATACAATGAAATCTATCTAAACTGAAGACCACTGAGACTGAGAAAATGGTTTATTGCCCTGTCTATGCCCAACACAGAAGCAAACAAAATATTCACAAATTTCAATAAAATAAACCATGACGACAAATTTAAATCCTTGTTAATTCCTTTAAACAAATATTTGCAAATCAGTTTTGAATGTAAACAGCAACATCTCCTAGAGATAACTTTCAAAATTCTTTGATTTTCTGACATTTTCATTTTAAATGTTATTTTTCGGGGTTTTTTTTGTCATTGGATGTTAACTGATTAAATAAATAAATGAGAGGTTTATTAGGAAAGTCTACAGAAGTTTTACAAAGTAGATGTTAACTTTTACCTTGTAATGCTTTATCTACATAAGCCTTTGTAGTATCCTGGATGTAAATTATGTCGATATCATTGTTCTCACTGGATGCTTCGCTAATGATATTTTCAAGATCATCTACAGCTGACAGTATACCATATTCTAAGCACTTCAACTGTGATTTGATCTTTATCACTGAGGACCGCCCAGCAAGCAGATGATGACAGTTTAAACAAGAGCCTTTTAATATCTGGGTAAAAAACAATATAAAAGAATATCTGATCTTTTTTTTTATCAAGCAGCCTCTTGGCTGGAATAGCTCCGCTGTTAGAAATGTAAATTTCAATTAAAGAATTGAAGATATATATATATAGTATCAAAAAAATTAGACTTGCGGTTTTCAACAAGAAGTCAAAAATATCACGGACGGACGGACGGACAGACAGACAGACAGACAGATAGACAGACTAAAAACAACTCTTATTTGTGTGTTATGATATTTCCATACTGTCTGTCACACACATAATATTGACTAAATCAACATCAAAAGTGAGTTGTCTATACTTACTTTTACCAAGAGTCTAAAAAACAATGGATTATATACTGGCAGTGGCAAAACGATATGACCAAAATGTCCAGGACAGTGAAGATAATTCAGAGAGCAAGTACCACAGAAATCATCTCGATCAGCTGGACCTAAACAAATGACAATTCAACGTTTAGATAACTAAGACAAAGTAATAAACCAAGGTAGTAGAGGACAGCAAAATCAGTACCATTACCAGGCCAAAATAGAGACAAAACAATACTTTTTTTTTTCATTTGAGAAACAATCATCGTACCATCTTGATGAGAGAGGTGTGCCTATGGTAAAAATAAGTTACTGTACAATACTTTATTTTAGCTGGATTTAATTTTCACTGAAAAGACTTTTTGGGTGTTTTGTATGGAATTTATTTTCACTGATTTTTGATGAGTTAAATGTAAAATAAGGTATATTCGCTGGATTTTATTTTCACAGCAATATATCAAAGTAAAAGTTTTACACCAAAGTCAACAACAGGACAGACATTTTCCCCTTACATACGTTTCCTTTCATCTACGATGATACAGGCAAGGAAAAAATACCAGTAATCAGTTAAAAATTATTTGTTACAATGCTTAGTGCGGAAATCTATATTTTCACATGCAGCTGACTTACCTAGCTTGGGATCGTACAATCCACCAAATGACGGGTGATGAAACTGATCAAATGTTTGAGGGTTTGTTATTTCCTGGACACTCAGGTTTTTGATTTCTTTCGTTGAGAAGTTTTTAAACCTTATTCCACATAAACGCTTTGAAGGGATTGAGTGCATCATCTTTGCAAAATTACCTGAAAAAATGTTAATAATGTTTTTCCCACATACTTCTTTAATTAGCAATATTCTAGACAATATTGGAATGTTGCAAGAGAAAAAAAAATGAGGTTTCAAGGTCTTCATTAAATTCTTTTTTTCTACTAGTTGTTTTATAACCGTTATATTCACAATTTTGGGGGCATTTCCCCCATCAATGTTATTTGTTAATACTTTATTGCATGGGACCCATATCGAACATGCAGGTCAATGACCTTTCATTAATTAGGGTCACTAGTGAAAGTTAGAAATCCAACCTTGAAAATCAAATTACGAATAAGCAGATACAGCGTATTTATGTAGACAATTCTTGGTTTGAGCAAAGACACTAGACTGTAGTGTCTTTGGTTTGAGTCTCGAAAAGAATTCCTTGGGACACCCTTCTAAATACATTCACACTCCGGGATTTTCCTTTTTTCTGTCTTTAAAATGGGGAAGGAGTTTGCACCGAGAACTCTAGCCATAAATGTGTTGACTGGCTGCAGATCTGCCTTTATACAATTGCCAATTTAAAAATTAAATACAGAACACAGTTAACCCCACTCCATTAAAAATGATTGCGGGGTTTAAAGGCGTTAACACATTCCGGTTTGCTCAAACAATCAGTATCATACGTACACGAAAAACAAACAGGCAGTTCGTCTGCTTTGACCAGCAGACGGTCACTCTCAGAATTTAACCTGACAACCCAAATTTAAAGACATAAGTAAGTGTTTATTATTACCCATAACGTATCAACTCTATGTAGCAACAAACACATTTGTCAGTGTGCAAAAAGCACGTGTTTCGCTAAATAACAACATTGCCACACTTACCTCATGGAGATCGCCATATTGAATCACGGGTGATACCATTGTTTTTAATAGTGAGTGAGTGAGTGCTTACAGTTTCGCGAATTATTTTGTTCAGGTTGTCGCTTATTATTATTGATAATTTTGTTCAGTGAATATTTGTATAAATCGTGTATCATATTTTCAGCTCAAAACAAATTACATAATCAGGATATATACAAAACACATCCATACACCCACGTTTATTAAATCGAACAGTCCGGCTAAATCACGAAAATTTTAGTCGAGACTTGGTCGAGAGTTCTCGGTGAAACATGGCAAACCGCAGCTGTTGTTTGGGGTGAGTGTGCCGACCGATGCTCCCGTGTTTCGTATGGTACTGCTGTCATATTGTCACCTATCATTGAATATTTATGTATTTTTTGACACACAGTTCAAATTTACTTGACATAATTCAAGTGTATCTTAAAATAGTTTAGTAGCCTGTGGCCACTCGAACGCGAGTGACTTCTTTGTCCGGGCCGATTCAAAATAACGTATGACAGACTTCACTTCATCTGTCCAGCTCCCTGATCTGTCACACACCGAAAATCGGCCACTCTCTCTAACTCTAACATTTTGAAACTTTGATGCAAGACATTTTTTTTTTCTATAGATAATAGTAATATTGTTGCAGCAGACTTATGACACTCATTATTGACGCTATTTCATCTGTGTCACCCCGACCTTCAATCAAAGGGCGACGTAAAACAACCTTGAAAGATCTGTAAATCGTGTACATTATGAACATGGAGGTATAAACAGAACGACGTGCCCCTGTCTAGATTGTAATGGTCCTTTTGCTATTTCCACAAAATTATGTAGTCCACATACTATTTTATTATGAATACCAAATGTAGATTTTATTTCTCTGAAAAATTAGAATACACAGTCGCACTATGTAAAAAAATATAGGGTCTTTACACCAGTCACACATGAATTAGCTCATGCTCATTTCAGAAATGTACACTCGGTTTACATTACATGTAGGAAAAGTTGTGCAACTCTCATTCACTGATTTCAACCAATCAGTCATAATTCTGAGGAATATTGTTATCTTAAAATTGTCTTTTCATCAACCTACTTTGTTGATATTACCACGAAAATATATACTTTGAAATAATGCCACTCATTCACACATCAAAAATGTAAAATGGGTGAATTTTGACCATTATTTGACCATTTACTCATCAATAATGTTGCCATATTAGTTTCTAGTAAACCTTGCACATTGAATCATGGGATAAACCCAAAGAACACCACTGATGGTAAATTTACATCCAAGTGATTTAGTCTTGTGTAAATCATGTAATTATTAGATAAAAATATTCCAGTATTACAAGTGTGAGTATTTCCAATCTCCTGTAGCATAGTAGACTATAGATAATTCCAAGTTGGTTGGCCCTTATTGTGGACAAGTGTTGCAAAATCACTGGCTAAAATTTGGTCGCTATTCAAAGAAATGGAACTAGGTTTAAGGTTTGCATGTACATCTGTTTGATTGGACCTGGTTGATACACTGGGATAGCACATTAAATTGCTGCTGTTGTGATGAGAAGATGGCCATACAGCCCAGTTTTATAGTCCCAATCAAAGAGTATGGTTTCTGTAAACTATTCTATGAATAACCTTGTTATGCTTTTTTGTATTTCCAATAGATGGACGAGATCCATGTAGAATCCACTTTATAACAGCTGCAATTTGAAGAACGAAGATGACTAGTACTTCGCCACCTCCGCAGTGTCCACCAGTTTTTAAAAAGACTTCACAGATTCCCTGCAAATGGGAAAAATGTACTGCCATAGTCTCTTGCAGTAGTGATTTGGCCGAGCACATCACAGAGGTTCATGTGGATAAACAACGTGGTGAAACTTACATTTGTCTGTGGGGTGGATGTAAAGTGTACAATACCCCATCAAAAAGTAAAACTTGGTTAACCAAGCATGTACTCTTCCATAGTGGAGGAAAACCGTTCAAATGTGTGATAGGAGGCTGCCATGCAAGTTTTGGTTCCTATCATGGATTAGCAAGGCATGTGCCAACTCATTTTAATGATAATAATGGACAACAAAAAACAACCAGAAGTAAAGAAGATAGTCCTGCCAAAATATTTAAGAAAAAGAAAATGCGATACAAAAGAAGGCTGTCTCTTGGTAAGCATCGAAAAATAGGAATAATGGAGAATATCAAAATACACCAAAGTAACTTCATTGGTCACCAAGTCAATTGATGTACTAGCTAGTTATGTACATCAAAGTACTAGTTATGACTGAACTATGTTGACATGCTTGAATGAACTGCATACAGGGATTTGTTTAAACAAGGGAACAGGGGCGCAACGCCCTCATGCCATGGCCATGCGCCCCCTTTACCCTGGTGAGCAGATCCTCGGGCAACCATAAAATTCTGATTGACCAGCGATCACATGTGGCCACAGTCTTCAACTGTGACCTGTCTTATAGTAATTTTGGCCCCATGGAAGCTATAGAATGCTCCATTTTAACTTAGAATTATCAAAAACTCCACACCCTGGTAGGAAGAACCCTATCTCCCCCACTTGGTGGCGCCACTGAATTGCAGTGCTCCCTCTTGCAGTTTTTTTCTAGACAAACCCCTGGCATATATTCTAAGAGGTACGCGTGTTACTGTATATTTCTGTGAAAGTAAGAACCAATGTGTGACCTGAAGAACAGCAACAGATTGACAGAGTATGCATACACATGTGACCAAACTGCTTATGTTTGACCAGGCCTGGTTGATACAAGGACTATGCATTACATTTCCATAATGACAATATGATCACTCGGCCCTCAAACATGGAATCTGGTTTTTGTGGCAAAATGCACTGTTTATTTTCAGCAATTGCAGCTGTAATTATTGTTTGCACATAGAGCAATACACGGATCACAAAACAAAATTTAAGTGCTTGTGTATTGTGTTTGACGCGGCCATCTTAAATCTGATCTCAAAACAGTACGGTAACTTATATTGTACCAGAATATGTATTTTCCTCAATTTTGTTTTATTGACAATATTGTATTATTGTTATTGTATTATTAAAACAATCAGTAGCATGTTTATTTTATTTTTTTCCATTTTAGTGAAACCTGATGATTATTTTGATTCTCGAATTGTTGATGTATTGAAACACAAATTATTGCAACTCAATAAGAAAACCAAGCTTGATACAGAAGGTGGTGGAAATAGTATAATATTCCGTAGTTCAGTAAGTATGTCATTGTGGAATATATCACTTACATGTACAGGCTGGCTTTCTTCACCCTCCATTTCCTTAAATTAAACTCAGATCATCGTAAGCTATATCGTGTTTTGCAGCTCTTGCATTGTCTCGCATAGAATGGACTCTTCCAATGTGGTATTGTTGTCGGTCCTTGCTATAGTAATATCAGATGTGGGTGCATATTCCAGTTCTTATTCCATGGACCAGAGCAAATATATGAATCAATACTATAAATTTCAAGTTCAGTGTCACTATCTAATCATCCTTGAACGAGACAATTGAACCCAAATCATGACTAAACATCACATATTGTTTCTGTGTAAAAGTGTTTTGTCATCATAACCATATTTGCTGTGTATTTTGTATTAGGTCATAGGAAGAAGAAAAGAAAGCAATGGAAAAGTTAAACTATTATTACACTGGACACCAGAACATTTGTAAGTATTAACCGCAATACGCGTTTTTGTGGCTACAATCCAAGGTATAATGTTCACTCTTCTCTTGCTATTATGTTATGGCATGCGCTTTATCGATAAACTTGTCTGAACTCAAGACCATAGGGACAAAGAAAATTGTCTGGTTACCCTGAGGTGTTAGAAGTTTTGCTGAACACCCATTGCACAGTCGAGGACAATTGATTGGTTTATAGAGTTGTTCAGTTTGTACTGGTCATATCCAGGAAATAGTATACTGTAGAATACTTTATTTTCGCTTGGAATTTATTTTCGCTATTTTCGCTGAAGGGATGATTCCGTGAAAATAAAATCCAGCGAATATACTTTCTTTCTTATATTTCACATTAAACTCATCAAAAATCAGTGAAAATAAATTTCATACAAAACGCCCAAATAGCCTTTTCAGCGAAAATTAATTCCAGCGAAAATAAAGTATTCCACAGTATGCTGTATGTGTTATGAATTATAGCGCCATCTAGTGGCAGTCTGGAGAATACTTATACTGGTACCCCTGGTACTTATCAAAGCAGTAGAAAAGGCAGTCAGTTTAGATAGGTTTTACTGTTACTATACGAATGTTATTCACCAATAGAATACCTTGAAAGTACGACTATGTTGCAATGTATTCATTTCTCTATTATCCAATACTGAGGACGCTGTCACTTAAGTAATAATGTTGAACCATTATTTTTTTATAATTTTTCAATTTCTATGAACAAATGAATATTAAAACGGGTGAGTTGTCACCTGCGCATGCGTCAGATGGGCATAGCATGTCATTGTTTACAAACAAGCGTCTACCCATGAGCCTTTGCGTTTTTAGCTTGTGTTGTGCAGGGTTCTGCCCAGCTTGATTTAAGTGCTGGTTGCTAATTAATATTCATGAGTCATTAATATTCATGAGCTAATTAATATTCATTTTCCATTCTACTAGCTACGAATTAACTACATGTACTTTAATTATTTTAACTTTTATTTATTTTGAATATTTCAATGTAAAATTAATCTGCTTTAATATAAGTGAAAAAATATATACACTTTATTTTTCAAATCACGTCTAATACATATTTTTAGACATCGACCTCTGACCTGGCAGCCATTTTTTTTTTCAAAGCGTGTCGTCGAATTTAATTGTTTTCTGAGGGTCTATGCTACACTCGAGTGCAAGTGCAGATTAAACGAACGACAGCTTGACGCATCGCTGCCGGTGAAGTGAGCAAGTTATTGTTCAACTCGGCAAATCCTACACACAACTAAACTTGCAATGGTAATCCTTCCTTCTGTTTATTTATCATTATCATCCCTTCCATTATCTTGATGTACGACTTATACCGATCTGGTTCGTTTGTTAAAACTAACAGAATGTCAATC